ATGGACTGGACTGCAATAGAATATCACTGACTACAAAGCGAAAGACCCAGCTGTCAGAGTCACGGGGACAAAAGCAGACACAGGTAATACACAATAGTGTTTACAAGTGAAAATCCACCACGAGACTACACATTCAGGAACCTTCCTGGTATCACTAGAATGCTATCAGAGCTGACGTGCCAGGACAAAAAGAATACATTCAAGTGGCTGGTTCCTTCCAGCTTCCAAATGTTAGGCTACACCCCTCTCCTGCTTCCAACTGCCCCAATAGCCAACCCTCACTCGAAGACTCTCCCTGGACATCCATCTGTCAAAGCACTTTATGACACACAGAGCACCAGGAAGATGCAACAGGAGCAAAGGCTGCAGGCATTAAATGCTTGTTGGCAATCTCATGCAGAGCAGAAACTAAGGTGAACCCAAGAAAAGTTAGTGACTCCAGAAAAGGAGTGCCAAGTGACACAAGTGCCACAGCAACACAAAATCACATGAGCTTCAGCTAGATTTGGGAAAGGGTTTCCTAAAACCTCTTTCCTCAGGACCACCCCAGCTCTCAGCAGCGGAGCAACACTGCCCGGCCTCCCTCCTGCAGCACTGCTGAGCAAAACAGCGGGAACAAAGCAAAAACCAGCCTGGATCAAAGGCCCTGAATGATGCGTCAGGAACTCAAAACAAGAGATAAAACAATCATGAGAAACTCATCGTTTACTACCAAAGCAGAGCAGACAGCACAGTGTGTACTATCCTAAAAGTACTCGACACATGACATGATTTCAGCTCTGTCAGAACAAGTTTAAAACACCCGAGGGCAGTCAGGAGTGCCCATGGCTCTCCTACAGCCAGCCACTCTGGTAACCAGCGCTGCTGAAACAGCCTGAATGCCCAAGGCAGAGCACACAGCACTGCCACACTGGCACCATGTGAGATGCAGGGCTGGCACCGCTGCAGTGCCAGGGTGTTTGCTCGGCTGGAGCAGATGTTGCTTTCAACAGGTCTGAGAAAGGGCAGCGCGACACACATCTGCCCCTGTGCGACTCACAGAAGCCAAGGCGCCCTGCTCAGAGCCTGGCCCCGGGCTGAACTCCCTTCTCTCGGCAAAAGCCAGCAGCTTGCAGCAGCAGGGCAGAACACACAAGACAGGAGCAGCCAGAGCTGAAGTGGAGGCGGCTGGAGGCAGGCGAGGAGGCCGAGAAGCCAGGCCGGCCAACACAACTTTGTGTGGCAGCTGCCGGCCGAGCCCCGAGCCTCGCAGCAGGCAAAGGGAAACAGCACAGCCCGACACGGATCACAGAACTGCCCTGCCCTCAGCCCAGGCGAGGGACCCGCGGCACGCCAACCTGCCGGCACCCCCAGCCCACGGCCACCGGGCAGCACTGCCGTGCCCACACAGGAGCCTGCCCCAAAGCCGGACTCACCCCGCAGCCCAGCGGCGCCCCACAACCCCGAGCCAGCCCCGGGCCGGGCGGCGCTCCCTGCAGCCACAGACACCCCAGACCCGGAAGGACTCTCCATGCCCACGAGCACCCCAAAGCCCAGAACCCCCCACACCTGCCTACAGCCCGTGAGGCGCGGCAGCCACCCCCCGATCGGGCGCCTCTCGCACAGCCGGACGACACTCCCCGAGCCGGCCGCGCCCCGAGCGCCCCCGCGGCCCCGGGGGGCCCCGCGCCGCC